ATTACGCATTCAATCCTACTCTTTGAAATTCTAAGGAACAAAAGAAGTCATATTTACTCAATTTAACTCATGAGTGTGTGTGCAGTATAGGAGGAGTATTTTTAAACATCATCGAAGCCTGCGTGTTGCCAGCACATTGCAGCGCTCTATCTCGATCTGCTTATCTTCAGAAGCACAGCAGAATTGTAGTGGGACCTGCGATTCGCATAGCATGACAAACACTGACGTCACATGACACGAATCCCAGTGCGTGTATGTGCGTGGGAGATATTACGAGAGAGAACACTTTCACTCTGTTCTAGCAGCAACATAACGGAGGCTGTATATCGACTACCAATGACTTCACACATCTCAGTACAAGTGAATGAAGTGAAAACTTGTTGAGTGCTTGTTCCTCTGTTTCACAAATTTTTAACGAGACCCAGCTGATAACGAAGCCAAGGAATGTACATGGGACGTTAATTGTACAGTGTAAAGTGTATATTAGTGACTGTAATATAGATGTGAAGAAAATAAAGAGGCGAAAAGACAACTTGCCGCCGCAGGGCTTTTCAAGGAACAGCAAATGAGGTTATCATAGAAAAATTGCTCAGTGTTGCGCATTAGTATCCTTTTAAAAGGGAAAGTATAACTTGCAACTTAATTAAGATGCGGCGAAGCGCACAAATCATATTTATCGCACTTGGTATTGCTCAACTGCAAGTGTCTGCCTATTACCTATAGTAAGAACCATGTGATGCCAGCGTATCAACGTATCAAGGTCTAGACAAAAGTACAGCCACCCATTTTTACAACCTGAACGCACGAGCGTTGACCACCCAGCCTATAAAAACCACATAACAGGGCACAGCAGCGAAATGAACAATACGTGCATACACGCGATTAACAGTCCTCTGCAACTGTTTTCCTAAATAGCTGCTCCGGGAACCTGACAACGGGACGCCGGGAATCAGGGCTTATTGAATGGGCGGTCGACACTCGAGAGTTCAAACGGGTAAAAACAAAGACAAGCAAATGGGCGGCTGTACAACGCCGATTACACATAGCCGCCTGAACAAACAATTGCATTGAGAGCAAGCCCACTCGACTAAGCAGCCGACTTTTTTTTTTTTTTTTTGGGCAGCGCAGCACCAGCTCACGAATTGCACTGTGACCGCTGTTGTTTGCCTGTGATAAGCGTGAACACGTCGCAGGAAGCGTATTGTCCTTTCTCTCATTTAACCGGTACTGCACTAAGAGCGAAAACGATTAACCTCCTGTTGAAAGAACACTCGGCCGTGTTAATGATTACAGCGGCTCATGAAAGATGAGCTCACGTAACCCTCTGTTCTTCAGTTTTTAGTTTGTCCCTCACTGGGCAACTGGCTTAACCTCTACACTTTTGCATCAACATGCTTCATTGTTTGTTGTTTCAGAGTCATGCTCAAACTACTGCTTGCGCAGGAGTTCTTTGTCAAGAGTCAAATTCATTACTGCGTCGCGGCCATCGCAACCCAACGGCCACATACTATAGGCCAAGAATTCGATCACCCTCAAGCCTTATGAAGGATCGTCCTTTAATGCCTCAGCTCAACGTACCGCATACTTCATGCGCAGTTATTCCAGCGTCAGAGGTCACGAGGCGGTTACTATACTGACAGTTTACACAACACGGTTCGACGAACGCCATCGGACGGTGGATTACTGAAGTCACTTAAAACCTTCCAGGAAGTCGACGAGAGCGTTTGCGCCCTTTGCCGCAGAGTACAGGAAAACTTCAAAATTAATATCAAACTGGAGAAACTCAGCAGGATAAAATTTCGAGGTACCACGAATAAATGCTACCACGAGGTACAAATAAAAGTGTTTGATAATTCATACTAAGATAGTATTTTTAGCATTTCGCCGACCCACATTAAGCATGCAGTCCTGATGACCGACATCGCTAAAAAGTCACAATCGCTTCGAAGTGGGCAACATAAAAACCATTTAACTAGTTGAGAAACAGAAAAATGTGCTTGACTATATATACTATATAGAACTCCCTCAGATGAATATTTAGTCATCCGTTGTGCTTCTGGTAACAAACATTAGTTAGCAATGGGGCATCTCTGAAGCTCAAGGTATGCGGTCGACTTGAACTGGTGGAGCGCATTACGGGAAAGAAGAGACAGCCGAGTAGACCGACACAAGAGAACAGAGCGCTGACTTCGGACTGAGCTTTATTGGCAAATTGCATCAAATATGTAGATTTTTTTAAACTTTGATTTTCATACACGGATACACAAGGACACAGAGGAAAGAGGGAGAGAGCAAGCTGGCAACTTCCACCTGCGGGGCCCCACGCCTGTCCACTCTTTCGGGGAGATGGAACGAACAGAGGAAAGGGAGATAAGAGGGAAGAAATTGGAAAGAAGAGAGGGATGTAAAGAAAAAATGATGAAGACTTAGACAAGTATAAGTAAAAAATAAGAAAAATGTTAAAATCCGACCATAAACAGGTGCCCAGGTCCGTTTGGCCCATAAGAGTAAGAAGAGCTCGATGGGCCTGGTCGAGTTCGGGAAGCACAACCTCTCGGAAAGAGGTAGTCGCCTAGCGTAGTGCACTAAGTCCCAGGAATTTATATTCCTTAATCAGCAAAGCCCGCTGCGTATAGGAAATGCGGGACAGTGCACCACGAGATGCTGAAGTGCTTCGCAGGAGCCACAAGCTGCGCACAACGGACTATCCACACGCCCTTGACGGTGTAATCGTTCACGCACCAGCACAGAGCCCACTCTTAGTTTGTTCAGCAGCGCTCGGGAACGACGAGGCAAGCCACGGCCACGAACACGGGGAGGGAACGATCCATTCGCCACACGCTGGTCTGGGTGCATCTTTAGGAGGTGTCGGCGTATACGAAGACCATGGCGTTATCCATCGTACATGGAACATGGAAATCCCGGACAGTCACAGTCATCATGGTTGCAAGACGAAGCAAGGCGATCCGCTTTTTCATTGCCCGCAATGCCCACATGCGAAGGTACCTACTGTGCAGCTAGGCATACCCAACGTGACAGAATATTGTTGGCGGATGCCGTGATGCTTCTTAGAATAGGGCTGTCTGTCTCCTTGATGGTAAGAATACTAAGGGCACCACAAGAGTCGGTGAGGATGACAACCATCGATGCTGGTAACCCTTCTTGTACGTACGGGCGACATCAATCGCTGCTAGCTCAGCTGTCACCGACGATGAGGGGTGCGATATTTTAAACAACCGCCTCATATCGGTTCAAGGGCAGAAGCGCCCAGGCCATCGCTGCGTAAAGAAGCGTCCGTAAATACTTTTGCATAGTCTTCGAATTTTTCAAATAAGTGTGAATGGGCTAATAGGTATAGTTCCGAAACAGGTTGGTCACGCTTTTTGCGTATTCCTCTAATTGACAGATGGGTAAGGAAGGCCCATGGGCTGTGCTCTGTCAATGTTGCCAACTCAATGCATACAACGAACAGCCGAATCGCCAGGATTAAACACCATCGCAACCTCACAGACCAACAATTCATAGCCGGTTTGTCTGAGTAAAAGGGGACACTTCATGTTTAATTTTCCAGTCAAGCTCAGTTGGAAGTTAGCGCTCTGTCTTCCTGTATCGGTCTGCTCAGCCAACACGTTTCTTTTTTCCCGTAACGCGCTGTGCCTTTATGTGTTTTGGCAGAAAAAAAAAAAAACATACTAGCCCATTTTACCGGTTCAAGTATAGACGAACCAACTCGTCCCAACGGTGGTGGACTACTGTGTGTGCGCAGTGGCAGCTATTTCGCTTCCATAAATCTTATCTGTCAAACTCGGCAAGGCAAAACTGAAAACACAGAAGAGTGCCTTTCTGGACTGGACTGCGCAACTTACAGTACAGCTGCTCTATAGATAAATGTGTACGCACGCGCTCGAAAGATTACGAAAGGAAGGGACATGAATTACTACGAGCTGTGCGCATGCAAGGGTTGTTTCGGTCAGGGCCAAGTGCACCTGTGAGCAAGGTTATCGCTCCCAGTTCGCCTAGTCGTCTACAAAGGCAGTCTGAATAACTCATACAGAATGCACAAACAGCCGATAACTGGAAAGCACGCTGAATTCTGCCCCTTTACGGCTTTTCCTATGACGATCGCCATATTATAAGTGATGAGGCAATAGATGCGGTACATAAAATCTACTCGTTAGGGCGAAGCAGTGCACACTAAGCACCGTCCAGAAGTGACAGTTCGCCCCGCCGCGGTGGTCCAGTGGCTGCGGGTCAGGAGTGACTCGTCTGCTGACCCGCAGGTCGCGGGATCGAATCGCGGCTGCGGCGGCTGCATTTCCGATGGAGGCGGAAATGTTCTAGGCCCGTGTGCTCAGATATGAGAGCCCGTTACAGAACCCCAGGTGGTCAAGAGTACCACAGCCCTCCACTACGGCGTCTCTCATAATCATAAGGTGGTTTGGGGACGTTAAACCCCACATATCGATTAATTAATCAATCAATCAATCAGTGACAGTTCAATACTGAGCGTGGACGTTGAGATAAAAACGCGCCCGACGGAGGTGACAGGGTGACTTACGAGAGTCGTGCAGTACATAGGCTGAAACCACTGGAACGTTGACTTTCACTTTGTATTTGCGTACACAATGAGCGACCACAGGGACGTGACATGCGTAATAGCCAAGCAAATTAATTGGCAGTAAACGTAGCCGCTAACAGCGCCCACAGCCGAGCCACCGGAATACAGTACCGGCTCTTGTTCACTTGGCCTCCTCCACACTTTGGCGTTTACGACTGTTCCCACGCGTATCGCAGACACCTCTCTCGCGCGCTGTCATATTTAGCAAAGAGGGTTCTTTGATCTCTCGCGACCTCTTGCGCCCCCTCTGTAGAAGGGACGGGCACGCGGATGCCTGAAGCACAGGAGAGCCGGCGTCATCGTCGCGTGCGCGCATCGGATGCAGAGCACCAGCAGGGATGGGATTCGCAAGGGAGGCAGAGCGGCTGTGCGTGTGACTCACCATCAAGCGCGCCGCCACCCGTTGACCGACCCGGGGCGCGTCCGCCTTTCTTCTCGGCAGAGCACGGCCGGAGATGAGGGGAAGCTTGGCGGCCACCTGAATGCCCAAATCCACTGGCGGCGGCGGGGAGCGAGGAATGTCGGCGGCTCGCCGATCCTCCTGGTCGATCCTTCAGACCGGCAACGAAAAACGGCCCGGCATTCGGGGCAAAAGCAGCGGCAGCGGGATGTCCGGCCGCATGCCGCTGGCTGTAGCACTCGGACGAAGTCGGCGTGCAGCGGTGAGGAGGACGGGGAGGGAAAAGCACGCCCGCACACCCACACTGGCGAAAGAAAGAGACGCTCCTCCGGCAGGATCACTCCGCGGGCCGCCGCTGGCTGGCCAGGCGTGCTCGGAGCTGCTCGGCGTCTGCGGCCGCGCGGGAGGAAGCGGAAACGCTTCGCGGGGCGGGACCATTGCGCGCCGCCGAGGAGGGGTGCGTAGCTGCCGCCGCCGCGCGGCGGGATGCTGCTTTTCGGCCGGTTCTCGGCGCGCTGCGCTGCCCGCCATGGTGCTCGCGGAAGACGAGTCCCACGGTGACACGGCTGTTCATGAAAAACTAGACAAAGCGCTAGCGGCAACCGAGACTGCGTGAAGCGGACCTTACTCCGCCATACAAATCACCTCAGCGCAGGTGTGAAACCCGAGATTTGCTGACAGGACGCTTTATTAAGACATTAACGTCAACTTTCGCACGGCTGCTCTACTGACATTTGCACTAGCGTGACATCAGGCTGCACAATCACTTAATGATTGGTAGTGATGCAGTCAGGTACCAAAACATACGAAACGGCCCCACGTGCGTTCCCAACGGAGCCATGTATTGCAGCGTCCGTGGAAACGTCACTATATCTTGCGCGAGCACAAGACGAAAAGCTCCTACCATGCCGTGACGTCATAATGCACTAAAAACCCGATTCAGCTCATAAATTCTCGTCGGTAATGCCTCCAAGATTGAAACAACGCCCGAAGTTTTGCCCCTCTACGTAACACCGGTGGAATTCGCGAATGCTATTCGAGTTTCTGTAGAACTCGTTTAGCCAGCATGAAACGCATTGCATTTGGGATGCACTCTCACTTATAAACCAAAACACTAAACAAAAAAGAAGAACGTGGGGAAAGAAAATGCAGGGATATGTTAACCAGTCCTGAATGACCGGTATGCTACCCTGGGGACAGGGATGGGGGAGTTTGAAAGATGGAGAAAGGGAGAGGGGGGAGAACACGCACACTAAAAGTCGCACGTCACAGTCATCATACCAATAATAGTCTATAACCGCCGGTCCAAGTCCGTTGCCTTCAAGAAGCTCAGGACTCCTTTCGTCGCCTTCACTCGCGATTACCTCTCTGGGCAAGATTCCAGAATGGTGTCCGCCGTCATCGGTCTGCTATCTATGCGAGCTAGAGCGGTTGCTAGAGATGTTCTCTGCGCATTGTAGCGAGAACAGTCGCCGAAGATGTGTTGTAGTGCCTCCTCGCTATCACAGTTGTCGCAGAAGGGGTTGTCAGCCATTGCGATGCGAAATGACTTCGTGAAGGCCATTCTTAGCCATTAACGGCAAAGTACCATTGCGGCGTAGTCCAGTAGGCGTCTGTAGTAGTAAAGTGTTTGGACTATAGTGGAGTTCATTTTTCAGTCTACTTGTTGTATTTCAAGTGGAGAGAGTGATTTTCCATGCGGCCACTCGAAGATGACTGGCAGCGTCGCTCCTTGATAACGGTATTGTCTCTATACGCTGTTTCTCCTAAGCGCTGATCGAGCAGCATTGTCAGCGTTTTCATTGCCTGTCACGCCACAGTGACTTGGTAGCCATTGAAATGTGACGTGATGACCTTTCTCAAACTCACTATGAACAAGATACCGAACCTCGAAGACCAGCTGTTCGTATGGTCCGTACCACAGGGCTGATAGTAAAGATTGCAAAGCTGCCTGCGAATCACTGAAGACTGACCAACGTTGAGGTTGTTCGCGGTTGACTACGTGAAGTGCAGCGTGAAGAGCAGCGAGCTCTGCAGCCGTTGATGACGTTGGGTGGTCTGTCTTGAAACTGAAGGTAAACTATTTCGCTGAGACGACCACTGCTCCAGACGAACACTGCAGAGTGGTTGTTCCGTCAGTATAAACATGTACGTAATCGTCGTACTTCTCGTTCAAAAGCATTAGGCATAGCTGTTTTAGCACTGGTGATGCAATATCCGATTTTTTTCCTGATGCCGGGTACGATGAGGTGCCCTTCAGCTTAAGTGATGCACCACGATGGTATCATTGGCTTTTACGCATTTATGCGCATTTAAGCGCGTCTTATCAAGATCGACTTCGGGCAGTCCAGAAGGTCCACGATGACGCCACAAGGCTCGGCCTGACGATACCGACGTGGATGCGGCTTGCCTCGGTCTAAAAAGACCGGGCTTCAGGACACTAATAAAGTTTTGTGAATGAATGAATGAATGAATGAATGAATGAATGAATGAATGAATGAATGAATGAATGAATGAATGAGTTTACGTGCTTCTTTTATCAGTACAAGTGAAATTATTTTGAGTTTGGTCACACACTTTCGAATTAAATTTAGATATTTGAAAATGGGGATCACATCTAATTGCGATCCCCCTTTTCTACTTCTGAATTGCGAAATCAATTTTATTTAATAATTCATTTTTTGGCACTTATTAGAAGGATGAGACATCGCATGTTGTTTCATTTTCGGCCATCAACTGTCAATGCTTCTAGTTATTTCTTCCGTTCACTTAACCTCAAACCAGACGACTCTGGAATCAGCCGGCGTATGTATGTATGTATTGTCGCGGGTTATAAATTACAGGGGGTTTATTAAAAAACACGGACAGTGGAACTTGTAGAGACGCTCTCAGAGAAGGCCGCTAAGATTGTCGTCTTCTTCACTCGCCTGCGCTGCGCCTCTCGAGCAAATCCACGTTCTTCGTTGTCGTTGCTATCTCGCCGCTAAATGCAGCTATGCTCGCGGCAGTATGTATGTATGTATGTATGTATGTATGTATGTATGTATGTATGTATGTATGTATGTATGTATGTATGTATGTATGTATGTATGTATGTATGTACGTACGTACGTACGTACGTACGTACGTATGTATGTATGTATGTATGTATGTATGTATGTATGTATGTATGTATGTATGTATGTATGTATGTATGTATGTATGTATGTATGTATGTATGTATGTATGTATGTACGTACGTACGTACGTACGTATGTATGTATGTATGTATGTATGTATGTATGTATGTATGTATGTATGTATGTATGTATGTATGTAACCTTCCTTCCCCCTCCCATTCCCATCCTTACTGCGTCCATACTCAAGCTTCGCAAGGCCAGACGTGCAGCATATCAAAGCTGTACCAACCAAGCCAGTACAAGCAGCTAGCTCTTCGAACCGACCATATCCGGCTGCGTACTGCGCACGTCTTGTTTGAACTTGCCTCGTCACTATAGCATTAATTGCACACGCCACACTACAAAAAGCCGACAAACCCCGCGCATCGACCCAATTCGCACGTCAGGAACTCTATATAATGCATGGATGTACTGCATCAGTCATGCGCTGTGGCGAATACGATGCATGAACTAGGCGTGCTACGCATTAAATGTGCCTGATATTAAGCAGGAACATCTGCCGGGCCCTCATCCTCAGGGCCTGGGCTGTCGCAGAGGCTACCGTAGGAGTCCTGGAATAGGGACCCTCCCCGTTTTCTTTGAATGTTCATAATAAAGTGTTTTCATCATCATTTTCTGCAAAGAAAATGTGAACAAATAGAAATTGCTTTGTTTCCCATAACGACGTAGCGCCGACTGAAAAACGAAATGTGCGCCTTTGGAACGCCTGCATGCTCTCGTTCATCGGGAGCTGAGAAGTAGCGCGTGCACGTGTCTTCGCGAATCCAAAACCAGCACTTCCTGCAGTCTGCCTTTTGTACTCTCACGTAGCTTTTTTATTGCCATACTTGCGTTCTCTCGCATACAGCGCAAGCTTCGTGTCGCCTATACCAGTGATCGCGCAAATCATAAAAGGCTTCTTACGTTAGTCCTCTATATGTGAAGGCCCGGCTATGTCCTAGGTCACGATCTCGAAAGAGACAATTGGCTATGCGCTCGCGCATGCAATGCTGCCCGCCGAAAAGAGCGTATACTTGTGCTCAGACAAGGCATGTCTATAGCCTAATACGACTAAGCCAGCGGTAGGATTGTTCATTGCACTAACACTAAACTCGAGCATGCAAGGGCTCGTAAAATGCTGCTGCTCACGCGGGCATCACCGCGTGGCATGCAGCGGCTCCTGCCTCGAGAACGCGTGCGGCAGACGTCGGAAGGAGAACGTTTAATTTCCCGGAAAGATGGGGGAACGCGAGCCCGGCAAACGGACCCGACAGCAAACGAGGCGCACCGCTTTTTGGGGGAATTGCCTACGTAGCACGCTGCAGAGCGGCAGAGAAAGAGCTGTGTAGACCATGCGTGGATGCGTTTGATGGAGTCGCATCGCGCCACCGACGTTGTCACTCGAGAAGGCATGACTCAAATTTGCACCCTCGAAAAAAAAAAAAAAAACTCTCAGCACCATTCACCTAAGTCGACTGGAAGGTGGAAGACATCTCCTTTCTTACTCTTCTTAGCCGACGTATTGACCCTCTGCCGCTGAGAGGTTTCCGTGCCTGACGTGGATTTGCACTGCCTCAGTGATCGGAGGCGTTGCAAGGTTTCAGCGCCTCACCTAGTTGTGCCCTGCCTCCGTGATCAGCTTAACCCTGACCAAGCGAGGATGTCATGCGTGGACGACGTCACGGGACATCATACATATTGGCAATTGGTAACGCATAATCACGTCACATGGCGACGTCAGCAGGTGATTATTTCCTGCGTCACTCACTTTGACGCCACCGATGCCCCCCCCCCCCCCATTTTTTTTTGCGTTTGAAGAGACATACAAGGCTTTCGCCTTAAAGGGTCCCTCACCACCCTGCGTACGAAGACGAGGGAGTGGTTTTCACCTCATCTTCGATACCCTTTCCTACGCATGCAATATCTCCCCCTCGTCACTTATTTCTTAGAAAGCACGTGCCCAATGCCAACATTTTGCATCGAGCTGATCAAGGTATCGTGCTTGTCGGGTGTGTACACACTTTTATTTGCGTTTGCGCAGTCTGAAACACACAAAACGAAGTGAAATGATGCGAAAACGAAGCTGGAAGAACGGATGGGTGGCTGCAAGGCAAAGCAGTGCAGGAGACAATTCACGTCCGACATTCCGCGCATAAGGATCAATCGAAATCTATTGACGCACTCTATAGACGTTGCGGGAATCCCTATTCCGGCATGATGGATTGCCCTATAAAGAAGAGAAACACCAG